GAAGGGGAGGGGAGGGGAGGGGAGGGGAAGGGAAGGGGAAGGGAAAGGAAAAGAGAAGGGAAGGGAAAGGAAGGGAAAAGAGAAGGGAAAAGGGAAAGGAAAAGGGAAGGGAAGGGAAAAGGGAAGGGAAAAGGGAAGGGAAGGGAAAAGTGAAGGAAAGGAAAAAGAGAAGGGAAAAGGGAAGGGAAGGGAAAGGAAAAGAGAAGGGAAGGGAAAGGAAAAGAGAAGGGAAGGGACAGGAAAAAAGAAGGGAAGGGAAGGGAAAGGAAAAGGGAAGGGAAAGGAAAAGAGAAGGGAAGAGAAAGGAAGGGAAGGGAAGGGAAAAGGGAAGGGAAAAGAGAACGGAAAAGGGAAAGGAAAAGGGAAGGGAAGGGAAAAGGGAAGGAAAAAGGGAAGGGAAAAGAGAAGGGAAGGGAAAAGGGAAGGGAAGGGAAAAGTGAAGGAAAGGAAAAAGAGAAGGGAGAAGGGAAGGGAAGGGAAGGGAAGGGAAGGGAAGGGAAGGGAAAGGAAAAGAGAAGGGAAGGGAAGGGAAAGGAAAAGAGAAGGGAAGGGAAAGGAAAAGAGAAAGGAAAAGGGAAAGGAAAAGGGAAGGGAAGGAGAAAGGGAAGGAAAAAGGGAAGGGAAAAGGGAAGAGAAGGGGAAAGGGAAGGGAAGGAAAAAGAGAAGGGAAAAGAGAAGGGAAGGGAAGGGAAAAAGGAAGGGAAGGGAAAAGAGAAGGGAAAAAGGAAGAGAAGGGAAAAGGGAAGGGAAAAGGAAAAGGAAGTGAAGGGAAAGGAAAGGAAGGGAAGAGAGAAGAAAGAAGAGAGAAGAGAGAAGAACTAGAACAGGACTCCAGATGAGTGGCACCAGCCATTGCTATTTCGCAGTGGCCTGAGCTCAATGTGCAATCTCTTGGAGTGATTCAATCCCAGTGCTCACTTCAGGCCAGGACTACTGAACTCATACTACCCTCAGGCCTATAGTCTACGGGTGTCACAGTTTGCTTATACCTTGTATGCACCAGGCTAAACATCTCCACTGCTACTTTGCTTCTCTTCTATCATTTCATTGTTTCTTGTGTGCAATAATCACACACTTGCACAAGCCTGAACCTTCACTCTGCTTCCCTTCCTTCTGTTCTCCAGCCAAGTCCACCCAAACCAGGTGCTCCTCTGGACTGCCCTTATTGAGCACAGTCATCTCTCTTAGACTCTGACAAAATTTCCCAGCAGCCTCTCTTCCTACAACCTCACCTCACTGTCTTATTCTCTGCAAATTAGGGCACTTCCTGCTTCCAAGCCTCAACACTCCCATGGTCTCCACATAGCATAGCCATGTCTGTAAGGGTGCTCACAGTGCTCCGCAGATAGCTCCACCCTTTCTGGTTTACCCAATACACACACACACACACACACACACACACACACACACACACACACACAGAGCAAGAACTCTTCACATAGTTGAAGCAGGGAAGAAGGTAATGTCAGGAGTCTTCAGTACTCTGGCCTGGATGCCCTGGGTTTGGAAGTAGGCAGAGGCTGGGGCTTTCCCTTCAAGAACTTGGGAAGAGCATCCCCAAAGCTCATGGCTTTGGTAAACACGTGAATTACCTGGATGTTTGCCCTGGAAACTTCTCAACTTCATGGACATCTAAACTGTTCCCAATCATTGAGTTGCTAATTCTTTGAATTGTTCAACTGGTAAGTATTATGGTTCTCCTGTGGCTGAGGTACTACAGGTGACAACAATATATGGAGCTGGTTCTAGTCTCATGGAAAAGGTAGCCTAGCAAGTGTCAGACTTGTTACATCTTATCAGTCAGACTCTGATTTTTCCTTGTCTTGGCCTCAAATCATGCATCCACTGGATGGTGATCTTCCCTGAACTACAGGTAACCTTGGCTAGTCTCAACATGAGGCTGAAAGACAGAACTGTAGACAGGTAAAAGTGCCTTCAGAGCAATTGACTTATTTCTTTATTACCAGGACCTAATTTTGCTAGACTCTACCCAGCTCTGGGCTGGAGAACCTGAAGTCTGACACTGTGAATTTTATATGTTGTCTTAGATGCTAACAGTGACATGTGGTTAGGCAAGCCCCACTGAACACCTCTTCTTCCTTGTCCTTCTCTACAACCCAACCAATCTTCCCATCACCAGCACTGCTCAAAAAAGCATTTTTCACAAAACACACAGAAGTTCTGCATGTGAAATAGTCTAGTTGATGTTAAATTTGGAATTTGAGGCAAAGGTCTGAGGAGATTATGTCTAGATTCTCAGAAAGAATTGAGAGCTTCTCAAAGTCATGTGCCGTCCTCTTCTACATTGTTCTCTCCCACTGGTGACACACAGTGCGCTACACATGGCACCCCTGTGTAGGTGCTTTATTTGCTTACCAAAATCACTGTTTGAGGTAAGAGTTGGTATAATCGGCATTTGACCTTCAGGGATTAAATAACTTGCAAGAGAGTCAGTTGGAGCCCTCAGCAGTCTTCTCTACATCAGCATGCTTACCATGTAAGGACAACTGTTTTTAATTGTTCTAAAATTATAGGTCTTACCTTTCCCTTGTAAACACATCCTTGTGTAATCACTGGCTCCTAGGAGTAATAATCAGTGAACTTCTGGTGGTCTAAGACTCATGCCAAGTGAAATTCCTTCCATGTACCCATATAATTCTTTTCTCTTCTGGTAGGTCCTGGATTAATTACATAGCACCTTAATAGACCCACTACCTTCCAATTTACATAGATTCAATTATGCAGAAGTGAAAACTGATGTGTCTAAGACAAATTGTAGTGTTTATATGACCTCCAGCAGCATTTTTAAGGGGTAAATAAATATAATAACACTTAAATATTTTAGAGGAAACTACTTTCCATGGAAAGTATGTAGGAAGATGATGCAAAAATAACAAAACATCATCTCTAATGAAGTAAGTGCTTAGTAAATAGAGTGGAGGATGGAGAAAACATTCTCATCTTTAGGGTATGTTTTGTAAAGGAAAAAACACAGCAGGAAATGTCTTTTATTTATGCTTTTCTTTTAGCCACTCCTAATCCCATTGATGGCCCTTGCTTGAGGACAGTAATGTATCATTCTGTTCATAAACTCACCTTTCCAGCTTGGCCTCCTGTGGGGGTGACAGAGGTGACGACGGTGTGGGGGTCACACTGGATCCAGATGAGGGTCTCGAGGAGTGGAAAGTGTTGCTGCCAAAGTTGCTATATCTATAAAGGTGCAAGAATATAAATTGGGGAAGAAAAGATAAAGAAATGAGTCCAAGTTAATAAATAAATAAAATTTAATAAGTCATTTTAGATTTTATGTGAAGAACTATTCTGGAAATGCTGTCATGGGTAGTGATTATTCTAATCTACAGAAATTTACTAACTGCTTCATTCTGATTAACTTTTCATTAGTGTAGTCTCCCTAAATCCCAAACTTTAGATAGCAGGACCTATGGTGAAGGGTTTAAAGAAAATCCTTTTTTTTTTTTTTTTTTTTTTTTTTTTTGATGTGCATTAAAATCAACTGCTAATGTAAATTAAGAATCCAAGTTGTTTTCCCTTGGATCATGATAAAGGTTCTTGTCCCTCATGATGGTATAATTGGTGTTAATATCATCAAATGTCTGTAGAAAATATACACTTGGATAAAAGCATATTTTATTAAAATAACCTGCCTTAGGTATCTTCAAATCATTTCATTCATTATGCGTAATCATACCATGTGCCCTGTGACACGGAGGACCTGGCCCTGGGCTTTCTGGGTGACCCCACAGCTTAGAGATATGTGAATTCAGCCAATAGTTCCCCTGAACCAAATTACAGCTACTAGGATCACACAGACCATGAGCTTTTATCAGCCATCCCTGACAAGTACAAGTTCAGAATTCATAAAATTCTCAAGTTTTCTTTGATCTCAGAATAGATGTCCATTAGCAGTTTTGGGTGTTTTCACTCAGAGGCTTCCTAGGAAACAAACCATCACTTTGAGGCCTTCACATGGGAGTAAACACTCATAATTAGTTGTGAACAATGACATCCAGATGGCAGGGCTGATGTCTTTGCCTCACCTGGAAAGGGGCACTATATTAGGGTATATTACTCCAAGAACCACAATAAGTGTGCAAAAAGATTTTCTTGCATCTGATGAAAGCAGCCAAAACTCCCATCAATGGAAATCAGCACCAACCTTCAAAATACACATGGCCTTTGTCAAAGGAAGTCTACTTTAGGGACCTAACATAAGGAAATAACTTTCTAGTTACTTATATACTAAAAATGTCATGCACAAAGATACTCACTAGAATAGTATTAAGATGATGGTGAAAAACTGTGAAACTATACAGCCAGGTATAATGCAGAAAAGGCTAAGAAAGTATGCTATCATATAATCGCTATTCATATGGTACTCACACAGAATATTATGTAATCATTAAAATGATTACCAATGCTATAAATAACTAGGAAAAATCTTAATATGTAAATATGTGTAGGCTCAGTGAAAACATCAGGATGTAATATACACAGAGTTTAGCCAAAACTATAAAAATATTTTCAAATGAAAAAAATATAAAGAATATAAAAAACTGACTGTCTATGATACATAGTGGAGCACAAAGTTGACATTTTAGTTTTGAATAATAAATTACATTATTATAATGTAAAATGAAATATGCATACTCCCAATTCTATCCTGCACTTCAGACTCTGGTGCTGTTGCCCTCCTTGTTTCTTTGGTACCATGTCAGGCATGCGCTCAGTAGCAGGCAGCCCACCAGGCAGATGGAGCCTCCAGCCCCATGCTATTACCCTGCCAGGGCTCTCTGTTAACTCACCACTTCCATGATTCACATATGAGGGCATGTGCTTCTTTCTATTAAAAAGCCAACATTCTACATTTCCAACAGGTTAATTGCTTCTCCAATTAACCAGCTAATCTAGCTGGTCTACATTTTCATGAAGACACAAAAGCCACAGGCCATGGAGCAGACGGAAAAGCAAAGGTCAAAAGGACCATAGAAAGAAAGGAAGTAGAGAAGGGACAAAAAGCTAAAGAAGTGGGCAAGAACAGGACAGACAGCAAGAGTGGCTACGACGAAGGGAAGGGAGGCAAAGGAGGAGCCACCCAAGATGTCCAGAGTCCCTCTGAGGGTCAGGCTGGGATGTCACCCACCTAGACACCCACTAGCTGCTTGAACATTCAACTTGTGACCTCACTCCAGCAACTCAAAGGACCCTCTACAACCACCAGTGGACATGCTACAGAATATTTTAACTAGATCATTTTGCTAAAATTATGTTTATACTACGTTATGGAAATAAAACAAGCATAATGTGCTTTTCCCCCCTTCAGTTTTTCAAATGGCTACACAATTAATTCAAATGCCTCAGGGTCTGCCCAATTTTGCTTCTCAATTTCAGCCAAACTAACTGTATCATACAATTCACTGTTAAGCATTTTCATGTGTGAAGAGAGCAGGGTTCCTTTTAATGACTAACAGTTTGGTCTTTCTTACAATCCGTTCAACTGTAGTTAACCACTGAATAGTTAAATCTGTGACCATAGAGACCTATGAAAACCACAGCAAGTGAACACCAGAAAATTCAGAGGGTACAAACAACATTTTTGCAGTATTAAAATTCTCATCAAATTATAATCTTTGCCTGGTTAAATCCAAGACGTGTCTCATTTGCAAGCAGAAATGTTGCTGTGTTTCATAACATATAGACACATATAAAAATATACATAGCTCACTGAACTGTAACATTTATGTGATTCTATTGCTATAGTTCCTCAGAAGCAATCAGAGTAGCAAACCTTAGACACAAAGAACAAGGTGGCCCTGGAAAGCCCCACTAGAGGCTGAGACCACTGCCTGAAGGTCTAGAATCACCATCACAAACTAACATCCTACTGTGAATGATGGCAGGGCTCCTTTGCTTTCAGTGCAAGACACACTTCCTAACTCGCACACAGATATTGTTCTTAGAGGGTAGCAGGGTCATGTTGGATTCAACCCATAAAAATTGTATGAAAGGTCATAATTCCAGGATTTGGGACTTGCAAAAGTGTTGACAGTCTTTTCTGCCAGAGGTGTACAAAGTCATTATGGAAGCAAAAAAAAAAGTGGCTTTTCAGATCTGCAAGCTCCAGTATCAGTCTTCTGGATGGATCTGTTCGGACTTCTCCAAGGGCCTCCTCTTCCTCCTCCTCCTCCCTCCTTATCTGTCACACTTAGAAAGGTGACACACTTAAGCAGGCTGAGACAATGTGGGCATTGCCTTGTAAAGCCTCCAAGTGCCAAGTAAAAAAGGAATCTGAGAATGCATCACCCCAGAGGGAATTCCAGAAGAAACAGCAAGAAGAAAGATGGTGGTATAGCATCCATCCAGGGAGAAACGCAGAGCAAGGTTTTATACCTAACCTGCAAATCCCTCCACACCTCCCCTGAAGTGTCACAACACACCCTTGAGCTTATTTGAATGAAACAGGAAGCCAGACTTTTTCTAAATGGAAATTAGGTCTCATTTGACTAAGGGCTGGCTTTGCCAGCTAGGGGTAGGTAGACATTTGTAAAGCAGAATCAGTTACATCTAAAACCCCAAGGTGTTGACAACAGTAAGCTTTTAAACACACATAAAGCAGACCCTTTTCAGCCACTCAAACTTATGGCAAAAAGCCTTTGAGGAAAGTTTCAGAATTCTTATATGAAAGCAAAAAATGGTTGATGACTACAGATGGATCCTAGATTAATCCTTTGATTTATTAGATGGAAGTTGTGATAACCAGACAGGTTGGTCATTATGCACGATACGAAACAGTTTCTTTTCCGAGTCCAGACACAGCCTCTCTGTGCCTCATTTTCCTCCCTAAAAATAAGGGCTAATAACACAACCTACTTTTTAGCATTACATAATATACTTTGCTGTATTAAATTTATTTATTTTTAATGTATGTGTTTGGTACAGGGTCTTGCTACCCAGCTCGGACTCATAGCAATCCTATTTTCAGCCTCCTCAGTGCTAGGATTACAGGCATGCACCACCACATCCAGTTTTTGGAACCAGCTCAGCGGTCCCAGGGTGGGGCTGGCATGGCATGTAGAACCAAAGATCGAACCCAGGTCCTTGCACTTGTCAAGCAGGCACTTAAACTGCTGAGCTATCTCCCTGACCCTGCTGTATTAAATTTAATGGAAACTGCAGGCATGGCATAATAAATGTTCAATGAATGCTAGTTATTATTATTGTTGTTCTAAGATGTGTTGGTGATCAATTGATCAACTATTGTAGACAACTGAATGTTCAGAACATACAAACCATCTATTTCTTCCAGCAAACAGACTCTAGTTGAGGCAACAGCCAAACAAATCACTTACAGCAGAAAGGCACCAGTTAAACTTCCTCTACTTATTTGCAAACCTCTCTTCACCTCTCTTGCCAATAAGATTTCTTATTAAAAGACTCCAATAATGTAAGTATATTAAGATTCATTGATAAGAAATCTTTGCAGAGCACAGGCCCGGCGAGTGAGTGAGACGACCCAGGCCGCGGGATCCTGAATAGACCCAGAGCGCAGGCCAGGTGAGTGAGTGAGATGACTCAGGCTGCGGGATCCTGAACAGACTCAGAGCGCAAGCCTGGCGAGTGAATGAGACGACCCAGGGCCTGGGGATCCTCATTTGACTCAGGCTGCATGCAGGCCCACCATGGAACCCTTCAGCAGAACTCCCTGCAAAGAGGCTAGAGGCAAGACCCACCCAGCTGATTCAGGAGCAGAGCATCTTGCCAGAGAGACACAAAGGGTTCAACTCTAATGCCTGCAGCGGAAAGAAGTGGAGCACAGCAGCCAGAACCAAACAACACCCACCTGGAGTAATCTGAACTTCATAGATCCGGACCTGGTACTTAGGTAATAACTCTATCTAAGCTCTACACCAAAGGTCAGAAGACAGTGGTATACAAAATGACAAAGAGAAGGAACAAAGTGCAGTCTCAGGCCCCGAGTCCACCCAGTACAAATGTAGAAGACACTAGCATAGAGGAAGCTGGTAATCACACACCAGATATCTCTGAAATAATAGCGTTGACAGTAAAGAATCAACTGCAAAAAGGTATAGAAGAAATCAGATTAGAAATAATTTCAGAACTAAAAAATGTAGTGGTAACTATAATCAAAGAAGTACTAAGTGCTTCTAAAGAATACACTGATTAAAAAAAATGGAGGAGAATATAAAAATGAT